TGTAAATTTAATGAAGGATAAAGGGTACACGAATTAAAGAAAACGAATTTCGTTGAAGGTTGCCGATTTGGGATAAAATACGGGTCGAGCGAGAATACCCGATATTTATGGACTAGTACCATACAAGGTACCATATGACTGTGATAGTATGATGTATAAAGTATATTAAAAACAAATAGTATATTCAGATAATTCTTAATTATGCGGGTAATTTGTTAACTACCGAGTAACGGGACATTACCTAATAAGTGGATAAAGATTAATAATTCCCACCCCACCCTTCCAAAAACGTGGCAGTTGGCCACAACCTAAGGAAAATGACTCCTTAGCCATTTTGATAGGTGGCAATTAAGTAGTATAGAAAGGGACACTACATGTCTTGTGATTATTATACAATTCTTAAAATGAGAACATTAGGAACTCTTTACAATTCAAAAGACAGGTTAATGTTCTGAAATGAAATTTCATCCAATGTCAGTTGCAACTTTTTGTATCGGTTAACCATAACTTATAAAATTGTAATTACTCTTTCCTTAATTTCCTCATCTCCAGATATTCTGGTTCATATGTAATTACTGGATAAATTATATCTCCTATGACCATATACAATTTTATGAAAAAGATCTACTACTGTCATTTCCATCTTTCAACCATCTCAGTGTCGACTTCCATCTCCAGCTTATTTTCTGTGTTCCTTGAATCCTCACTTTGTAGCTCCTGTTATTGGGACATTATCCCTTCTTTCTCTAGCTCATATAATTCTCCAAGAACTTTAACAATATTATTTTCTGGTCGTCCAAGACCCCAAGTATTCTCCTACAAGAATATTATACGGATTTTTTCCTACTCCAGGTATGTTATGGCCATCCCTTCTTTCTTTTAGCATGATCCAAATTATACAAAAGAAACGAGCAAACGCACAGTTTTCATAAACGATTTTGTTCATAAAAATACTAGAGGTCTCTATGTTCTTGATTCCCGTGTGACATATTATTATATCTTTTGTTCATGGGTCTCAGAATAATACGCAGTTGAAAAGTTTATCCGAAAGGAATATTGAGATTATTACATATTTTTCATGCATTTCATTCATTTATATATGTGCTTTGACCCATGACCAGATGGCGTTATATATACATATATATATATATATATATATATATATATATATATATATATATATATATATATATATATATATATATAGAAAAAAAGGTTACGGCGTTATATACGCACCACCACCTGATCAGTTGGTATATGTTGATAATGTTGTCCACAGTGGCCGAGACGATATGATAGGATGCCATCAGAGGCTTGATAATATTATGTACAGCTATACCTACGGATGACACGACATTTATATGCACGTGCATGACATTATAAATGTTTTAGGATTTATAAAGTTATTCAGATTTACAGATGGATTTCTTTATTCCATGTTTCATCTATGTCTCTTATGTATTGATTTTCATGCCTTACATACTCAGTACACTATTCGTACTGACGCTGTATTTTCCGGGGCCTGCATTTCATGCCCGCAGGTGCAGGTAGGCAAGTCGACGGTCCCCCTTCTTAGGATCTTTGATCAGCGAGAGTTGGCGTGCTCCACTTGATCTGGAGCTGCTGTTGATTTTTGTACGATATGCTTGTGTATATTATATATATATATATATATATATATATATATATATATATATATATATATATTCAGTCCCGTCTTTGTACAGTTATATTTCTATTAGAGGTCTGTAGACAGTTATGTACAGTTGGATAGTATGTGGCCTTGTCGTCTTTCAATTTTGGGTATATAGTTGTCTAACGCAGCCTTGGCGGCTCGCCCACTGTAATCTGCACGTATATGTATATATGTCTTTTGGACAGGTTTTCCTCGCCCATGTTACTCTCGTAATTCAGCAGTTATTATTCATGTTTATATCTTAGTCGCATGCTTAAGGGAGTTCGACAGGTAGCACTCGGGCACTCGTCGCGGCCCATCGATTTGGGTCGTGACACAATTGTTATCCGTTTTAAGGATAAACAGATCTGTTCATTTTTATCGATCGTAAAATTATGCATGAATAGTGAGATACTTATAAGTGACTCTTCATTTTGGGAAAAAGAATTTACGGGTACCCCCATTGATGAAAAAGAATTTGTTGGAGCATCCATTTGGCGACAGCATCCCCTCCACGCCCACAACATAGAGGAACTGCCCCAACATTCGTCTTTTTTTGAATGTTTATTATTTAAAATCTGAATAACTTTAGCAGAATTCTTCGGTACGCCACAACAAACATCTAATATAGCGATCTTAAAGTGGCATGAAAAAAGAAATATCTAGTAACAAAAAATTACTATGTAATTTGCCAAATTTTGATAGATTACAGAATATAAAATGGGAATATGCTATATGATGATACATGACCGTGGAGAACTGTAATATGGAGTTGCAGTTGAGTTATATTATGAACCCAATAAGATTTTTGTTACTTTAATAACGATAGAATTGTCTTTATTTAAGGTTTCTACCAAGATAAGGCTAAACCACGAAAGCTCTAAATGTATTGGGAAAAAAGTTGAATTTATATTGAAGATGACGTGGCGTGACACCTGGACTGGACAAGTGGTCAAAGTGTAACAATTGGGAAAAAGGTACGGGAAACGACAGGTACGGGAAGAAGAAGTGAAATAGGCACGAGAAGCAGTTTAGACACGAGTCTCGTACCAATTCGAAGTCATTTAAGGCCAGTGGGTCGAAAGGCATTGAAGACATGAATCTGAAGATAAAAAGGAGTCCAAATTCAGTATTAAATACCTGATACGTTAGAAAATTGGTATTTAATAGGAATGCTTGTCTAACGGCTCATTTAATGTCATTTATTGTCCATAATTGTCTCATTAAAGCTTAGGTTTTATTCCTTTACCTAGAACCAACTATAAAAGGAGGAAGTTGTATTGGGAAAAGGGGATCATTTACATCATACTGAAATAAAAAATTTTGTTTACTGCTTTATTATTATTCTCAGAAAGCCTATTATTATTTTGGTCTCTTGATTATCAGTAACCCGATTTTTCATCTCAAATTCTAGTTTTATCCAAAATATTATTTCTTTGGTGAAACAAATTGGTTCCATCGCCGGGACTCTGATAATCTATTCTTTTTAAGTTACAGTCTATCTGTTGTTATCATCATGTCACATGACAATAATAATAGTGAAAACACCTTGGGAAACCGTGAAAATCAAATGCATCAAGATCAAGGAGATTTGCAGAACTTTAACGCGGTTCCTGCCCTTCAAAATTCACCACGTCAATCTCGTGAAGGCACTCCTAAATCACATGCTGATGAGCAAGAGCAATCAGAACATTTTGAGGGTCCAGAAGAAGCTCTGCAAAGAATAATTGATGCACGGGTTAGCCAAGCTCTTCAAGCGCTAGTTAGCCGGTTACCTGCTGCGCCGTTCACACCTTCGCCAAATAACAATACGCTGGAGAATCCTCGTTCTGGCCTTGTTAATTCAAACGAAGGAACCCCCATTGAACCACGAGAAATGAATCCAGGTAATACAAATAATTCTTATTTACAAAATTTGGTACTAACTTTGCAGACACAGCTCAAAGAACAAAACGAACGCATCGAGCAAATCCCTGGAGTTCCCCCAATAATCAAAGGAATAGATGCGGATAAATATTCACAACAACCTTGGAAACCGAGTGCTGCTCCCCTTTCAATCCCTAAAAAGTTTAAAATGCCTGACATTTCAAAATATGACGGCACAACCGATCCACGTGACCATGTGACGGCATTTACTACAGGGGTCAAGGAAAAT